ATATTTACCTCAAAACCTTGTTCTGGCCTGAATTATTTTTCCACTCAAATTATACTCCTAACAGTTTCTTCGTTAGAAATCTGTTATAAGTGATATGTTCAAAAAACTAGTTCTGTAAAAAGACTCAAATCTTCTCAAAAGTTCGAGTTTCATCTTTGCCAACTTTGGCCTGATGCCATGTCGCTTCGTTTTCGGTTGTTTGCTCAGGGCAAAGGTATGAGCTGCTCCTCCTCCTTTTACCATGCCTGGTTTACGATGTTCAAATACAATAAAAATTCGTCTCGACAACGCTTAGCACACACCTTTCTTAGCGCACCTCTATTATTGGCACTTTTTGGAACATTTCTCGGCTCGTATATTCGTCACAATTGCAATATGTCCCTCATTTCGAAACATTTCCAGGACGTCGCTTCACTTAGGATGCGAGTTGGCCACAATTCATCGGATTTCTATGGTTAGCTAGCATACTTTGTGAGTAGTGAAAAGAAAATGTTTCATTTCTTTTGAACTGATTTATTCTGTTTTCGAACAAAACCTTCCTTCCGATCCGTACAGTCTCGACAAAATGATGACTCGTGAGCATAGCCTTCGCGATTGCCTCAGCGATCCCTATGCAGATTACTTCGCTAAGGAGTAAGTAGCCTATTAGTTGCTATAGAATGATCTAGGAATTGTATTCCAGATCACTCCAACAAATTATGGATCCTCATCAAATTCACTTCAATGTTTCTTCAACTGGAAGCAGCAAAAAGCTCTACGAAGATGATCCTAGTGCTGCTTTTCACTGCGGTGCTCCATTGTTTGAACTACCTCATAGTAATCCAATGAACGTCTTATTATACGACATGCCTCCGGTAAGTACAGGTGGTAAACAGTCAAAAAATCGCCGAAATATATTGGAGTTTAACAACTCATCATGAGAAAACTTTCGATCTTTACTTTCTATAATCTACGATTGTAAGATGGTAACAAAAGTTTGGCTCATTAATGTTAAAAGGGGTTTCTCTAAGCGCTACATTCGTGGGAAATGTTTAAAAATTAACCAGAATACTTATGGTAAGGTGATAA